TAAGAAAACACGGAAATTTGAGACAAAGATCCTCAGATGCAATTCCAAAACTTTTGTTTTGCATTCCAAAGCCAAAGCAGGATACGTTGCAGCGTTTGGGCGCTAGATTAGATTTAGAAAACAGCCAAAACACCAGTGACCCAGGTAAAAAATATCATCTCCTTTTCTCCATTATTCTTCCGGTAAGGTTTCCGATACCTTAAAAGAGCATGCGCAGTGAGAAAGGGAACTTGTGAAACCTATTTTTGATTTTGAGCATTGCGCACCCTGCACCCATATTTCTCTCGAGTCTCTGGTCTCGACTTCTGGGGGAAAATATTTTAGCTTTTTGCTTTTTGTTGTTGCCTGCAAATGTAAGCAACAATGTATTTCACTTTTTTCCTTTTTGAATGGCAAGTGTGCCGTCACTGTGCTTATTTCTTTGTTGACAATGTATTTCACTTTTTTCCTTTTTAATGACTACTGCACTGTGCTATTTTTACCGTCATTTAATTTTATGATTTATTTAAAAATGTAAAATGTTTAGCAAAAAATTATTAATTTTATGATTATTAAAAAACGGATAATTATTCCAACACCTATACACGTTTAGGATAATCACTCACCATTTTTTTTACATTTAATTTTATGATTTATTTAAAAAAATTTAACTTTATGTAAAATTGTAAATTAATAATAATTAGAATTTTTTTAATTCTTTTTTAGCATCTCTAAAATGTATAAAAAAAAATTTAACAAATTTTTAATTTCTAGTTTTAAAACTAACAAAATTTCAATCTCACATCCATCTTTTTTTTAAAATTTTAATTATCTTTCTTAATTTTAATTTTTTAATATATACTAATTTAGATGAAATTATAATATTAAAATAAGTTAAATACTTAAATACTTAATATTTATATAATTTCTTTATATTAATATAAAATTATAAATAAAAAATATTTGATAATATTTAATTTATTATTTTAATATTTTCAAGTTATAGTGCCTTTTGTGAAATTACTTAATATATTATAATTTATATTTTTATGATTCAGAGTGATTAAAATTTTTAAGTTGTATAATTTATTTAACAATTAACAATTTAACATAGATATACTTTTTTTTTGTAGAAGCATAAAAATTATTTATTTATAATGTCAACAACAATTGCTTCTGGTTCTGATTCTAATATCAATTCTAAAATTCCAAGTAAGTTTGTTTCTGGCGATGTTGTACAAGATGATTATGTTCCTCTTTGGTATTATGTTAGCATATTAGATAAAAGTTCAGAAGGGGGAGGAAATAAGAGTTAGTCTTGTAATTTTTGTCAAAAAATTTATAAAAGTTCTTATTCGGGAGTTAAAGCTCATTTGTTGAGGATTTATGGAACTGAAATTTCTGTGTGTGCAAGTGTAAATGATCAATATTTGGTTGAATTGAAATCAATTGTTGAATTGGCTGAAAATAAAGTGAAACCTAAGCATGTCCCATTGCCTACAGAGAAAATGCATCAGAGTTCTTTATTGAAAAAGAGAAAAGTTGGTCCTTTGGAGAAAACATTTAATTTAGAAAATAGAGATATCTCAAAGCTCTCATTGCTAGAATGTTTTATTCTTCTGGATTGCCTTTCAACCTTGCCAAAAATCCCTATTATATGGATTCTTATTCATTTACTGCAAATCACATGCTTAATGGTTTTCTCCCTCCTGGATACAATGTCTTGAGGACAACTCTCTTACAACAAGAGAAGGCACAAGTTGAGAGGTTGCTTAAACCTATTAAATCGACTTGGAATGCAAAAGGTGTTAGCATAGTATCTAATGGATGGATAGATATCCAAAGAAGACCTTTAATTAATTTTATGGCTACAAGTGAAAGGGGTCCAATATTTTTAAAAGCTATTAATGCTTCTGATGAGATTAAAAACAAACATTATATGGTTGATAAGATGATAGAAGTTATAAAAGAAGTAGGAGAACAAAATGTTGTTAAAATTATAACAGATAATGCTCCTCTATGCAAAGGTGCTGGAATGATTGTTGAAATTTCTTTTGCTAAAATTTTTTGGACTCCTTGTGTTGTTCACACATTGAACCTTGCATTGAAGAATGTATGTGTTGCCAAAAACACTGAAAGAAATGAGGTAGCTTATGCTGAATGTAATTGGATTACTCAAGTTGTTGATGATGTTTCTTCTGTTAGGAACTTTATCATTAATCACTCAATGAGATTAGCAATTTTTAATCACTTTTCACCTCTAAAATTGCTTGCTATAGCTGAAACACGCTTTGCATCTATTCTAGTGATGTTAAAGAGATTTAAACTTTTGAAAGGTGCTTTGCAATCGATGGTTATTAGTGAAGAATGGAACTCTTATAGAGAAGATGATGTGGGTAAGGCCCAAGCTGCAAAAGAATTTATTTTGAATGATGTGTGGTGGGACAAAATTACATATATTCTTAATTTCATCGAGCTTATTTATAGTATGCTTAGAGCTTGTGACACAGATAGTCCCACACTTCATTTGGTCTATGAGATGTGGGATAGTATGATAGAAAAAGTAAAGACGTCTATATATAGATATGAAGGAAAAGAGTTAAATGATACATCAACATTTTATGAAGTTGTTTATTCTATACTAATTGATAGGTGGACTAAGAGTTGCACTCCTCTCCACTGCATGACTCACTCTTTGAATCCTATGTAAATATAGCCTATTAAATATTTATTTGTTTTTATTATTTATTTATAAATAATTTGATAGTTACTCAATTTTTTTATTTATTAACTTTTTTATTTATTCACAAGTACTACAATGATGAATGGCTTCAAGAGGCTCCAAATAGAATTTCCCCACATGAGGATAAAGAAATTTCTATGGAAAGAAATAAATGTTTAAATAAGCTTTTCAACAACTGAAGAAAGAAGAAAGGTTTCTCTTGAATATGTTGATTTTTCATCAAAAGCTCATAATTTTGCTTCTTTTGACTCAATTAAATATAGATGGACATTAGATGCTAAATCCTGGTGGGTAATGCATGGTTCTTCTGCCCCTCTCCTTCAAAAGCTTTCTTTAAAGCTTCTTATACAACCCAGTTCTTCATCTTGTTGCGAAAGGAATTGGAGTACTTATTCCTTCATTCACTCCCTGTAAAGAAATAAGTTGAATCCTAAAAGAGTAGAAAACTTGGTTTATGTACATATTAATTTGCGACTCTTGTCTAGGAAAAGTGAAGAATATATGCAACGGAGTACTAGAATATGAGACATTGGTGCATGAGGTAGCTTTGATGGTGTTAAAAATCTTGAAGTGGTGTCATTATCTCCTGATGAACCAGAAATGGAAGCTGGCTTATTTATAGATGATGGTCAAGAAGGGGATGAAATTGATACTATTCCTATTTCTTGACAATAAAAAATGATTTATAATTTTTTTTAGTAATGTGTAAAAATTAAAAAGTAAGAAATGTATTCTTAATTTTAATTTTTGAATGATATTTATTTGGGATTACTATTTTATATATATTAATTTAATTTTTTTAATACGCATCCTAAACGTATCGTATCCTATATTTTCAAAACTTGACGTATCGCCATATCAGATACGTATCGTATCCGATATACGTATCGTATCCGTGCATCATAGGCCACTTGTATAAACACAACTTGCAAGAGCCCCCTGCACCATTTGGTCAACGACCTATCCTCTCAGCCAGGGTTTGTCCCTCAGTTCCCTTCATGCAAACATATGTCAAATTTTACAAAAAGAGCAACTTCTCCATGCGTCAACCATTCATTTTTTTTTGTTTTCTCTTGCACCTTTTTTAATTTCTACCACGTGACATAAATCACCTATAATAACAATAGTTTTTTATTTTTATTTTCAGTATTTTATTTTATTTTGTTCAAAAAGCCACGATTTAAAATGGTTTGTCGCCGTAGTAGATATGATAGGCTTTCCCATGCTAGCATTCACCTTGGTTACTTAGGCATATTCTCCTTTTGATCGGTTACAACGTAATTGCAACACTAGCTAAAAGTATAAAAAACAAGGGAGAGAGTTGGAAGAGAAATAATATGATAAGGTAGAGATAGAGTATAACCTATTCGATAAGATCTAATTGTTAGAAATTATAGTCCACGTAATACCACCTATTAAGGTGGTTCACCTTCCTCTTCCTCTTAGATAATATTTACAAAATTATGCAAGTTTATAGTTAAAATGCGCGAGAAAAAAGCTTTAGTTTATGAGCATAATTTAATTTTTTTTGAATAAAAATATAATTAAATTTTTAATTTTTAAGACTAATTTCACCGATTATAATTTCAAAAATTAAATGATAGATTATTTATCATTTTAAGGATTATTTTGTCATTTTTATCTATTTCAAGTATTAAATAAATTAAAAATACATAATATTTGGAACTATTTTCTCACTTAAAAATATTATATTATTAAAAATTAGGTCGACCAAGTTGTCTTCATAATTTTCACTGATAAAAATAATTATTAAAAATCAATTTGATCAAATATTTCAATTTTTTTTAATGCATTAAGGTCAATATTAATAAGTTTATATACAATGACTGAATTATCTGCTCGACTAATTGAGCGATGATTATATTTTAACAGAGACTAAATTGGTAATTATCTCTATAATTTGTTTTTCAATTTATTGTTATCTAATAAAATAAAATGTTCATTGTTGACGATAAAAAAGTATAAATTTTTATATTATATTTTTAATAATAAAATATTGTAATTAAATTTAAAGCGATAAATTTCGGGAGACTTGTTTGAGCCGTTTAAGATGCGAAGCTGACGGCGTAATTCCTGAGAAACCCTAAAAATTATTGGTATAAATTCAGAGGTTGTGCTCCTCTCTACGGCGCCGATGTTGAGGACTTGTGTGTGTCTCCACTTTTTAGCTTTCTGCACTCATTATTTCACTTTTTTTATTATTATTTATTATTATTATTATTATTATTTTTTTATATTTTAACGTTTTGCCTAAAGAGGTCACAGTGATGACCACATAAAATTCAAGCTCAACAGACCCCAATGCACCGTTTTCTCTCTTTGGGAAATTACTTTGCGTGTCGACTGAGTCATCTCTTTTCTTTTCTTCAAAATCAAAATAACATTAAATATGCCATCCATTTTCATTTCTTGTTATATTTCTAAATTTTATTGTTATTGTAGAATTCTGTGATTTTTGGGGGAAAAGAGTAGGATACCAAAGCTCCCTCTTCTTAAATTTCAAGTTGAGGAAATCTGCTGGCTGAATCGAACCATTAATCTTATTGCCACCACTGAGTGATTTCATCTCTTTTCCCTTTTATTATTACTATTATTATTTTTAAATTTGTCGCACATTTTTGTTTATTTTACTAGCAGGTTCTTATGTTGAATCATTTCTTTGTTCGCACCTGATTGAATTTTTGTTCCCATTCCATCATTCCTCGTAGTAGCATTCGGCCATTTCGGGCCCAAGACCAAATACGATGTGATGGCTAACAAGTGGGTGGAATTTGTATCCTAATTAGCCCATAGTTGGTTGTATCTTAGATGTAATGATTGTGGAATTGGTGATACTCGATTTAGTTAGTTCTGTAATATGATGCAAGGACGTTTGATTATTCATTCTTTTGTGTCAAATTGGCATAGTGCTATATTCTTTTGGTTATTTTTCCAGTTAAGATATTTAATCCAGCAGGATAGAGGATAAGGATGGGTGCAGGTTACGGCTCTTGGTGTTTGATATTTCCAATTCCAACTACCAATATCAAATTCAGTTCACATCTCCAAGCCTTGGATTTCGGTGTGTATACAAAAAACCAAAAATGTAAGAAATTGGGAGAAGAATAATAGAGTGTATAGTTTTTTTTTTTTAAAAAGTGTAACCCTAAAATATAAGTATTTAATATGATCTTATATGATTAACTGAGACTTTGTGATAATGAATTATGAAATGTTTTAAAACACATTTTGAATGAAAAAAAATCATGTCAAGTTTTTCAATGACGTGTAAATCACATTTACAATGCCATAGTTTTTTGGAATTACTTCTGAACCATACGACTTGAGTTACACAGCCCTTGTTGCTAACTTGCTACTATTGAGGAACCCCGGCATCCTTCTTTATTTCCTTTTCAAAAAAATAAAAGAGAAATAATGTCATACAATTGTTTTGTTTGAATTAATTGAAAGAAAAAAAAAATAATTAATGAAATAAAATAATTTTTATTTTTTAATTTCTTCATTATTCATTTGAATAAAAATATACCATATTCGAATAAAATAAATTAGTAACTACAACATATTTGAATAAAAATCAAACAATAGAACATATATGTTCGAATAAAATGAACTGGTATTCAAATGAAGTATTACATATTTGAATTAACACTCCATGTATTTAAATAAACACTTTTAGTATTTCAATACATCATGCAACTATTCAAATAAGCATCCATAGAATTCAAATACACAATGCAACTATTCAAATTCAACATGCATCTATTCAAGTAAGAACAAGATTCACTTCTGCAAATGGTCAAAAACAACTACATACACCAAACAAAAACAAGATCTGGTAGACCACAAAAGCAAGAGACATGCTCTCTGCTATGTTTAGCAACCTATTTGAATGAAGTTGTGTTTGATATTCGAATGAAAGAGTAGAGGGAAAAAAATATGAGAAAAAACCATGTCCTCTCCCTTTCTTTATTATTATTATTATTATTATTTATTTATTTATTTTTCTATTTTAGTTCAAATTTGTGAAGAAATTTATAGATAAATAACCCATGTTTACTAATTTCTCCTTTAACGAATTTCCTATTAAACAAATATTGCAACTTATTTGAACGATAATATTTCTTCTTTTTTCACGTTATTTTTTGAGCATTTTTGTCTCAACCAAACAAAATATAAGTCACAAACATTAGTATAACAAACATTATTTTAGCATATTAAAAATAATTTAACTTTAAAAAGTAAATGAATTACATGTCATTTTGTTAGACTAAATTACACTTTTAATCATTTAACTTAATTCATATTTAATTTGATGTTTTATTTTTAAAAAAATTTAATTTAATCCTTTATTTTTATAAAAAGACTCAAAATAGTCCTTGTCATTAAGTTTCAAATAATTTATGCTATAAAATTTGAGTTGGTAATTAATTATACATGATGAAAGATCAAATTGAACTTATGTAAATTTATTAAAGACCAAATCAAACATAAAAAATGAAAATAGAACTATATATTTGATACAATTCCATAAAATGATATTGCAATTGAAACAACCTAAACATAATATAAAATGTATTCTAACAAGCAAATAACTTGAACACACTTTGAATCAATTGTGAGTAATTCACATAATAGTTTTATGAACTTAAAGTTTTATGAATTTAATTTACTATTATTAGAAGTGACCTCACATTATATAATACATTAAGGGTTAAATTTGTTTTTTCCTCTATTTTTAAATATTTTAAATTAAATCTCAGTCACTAACTATCAATGCGTAATGTTATTTATCAACATTGTAAACATGGACATTTTATGTGCTAAATGTTTTTTATTCGACCAAGAAAACTTTTAAACTATGATTTTAGTGTTTAAAAAATTCATAAGTTTGATTTTAATCCTTATATTAATGTATGATTTTCTTTCTTAAATTGTTAACTTTATTTTAGTATTTTTTAAATCTTTATTAATTTTTTCACCCGCTTTCACATTCATATTATGAACATATTATAAAGTATTGATTGAAACATAGTTGTCCATTCAATTGGGAATAATCAAGGGTCTATTATTAAATCAGTCAGATAAATAAATGGTCGTTTGTGAGTTAGTAAAATGGTCGTTTTAACTAATAACTAGAAATGTGCATGATTTATCTCGTTCCATTTAAGGATTGAACCCAATCATATTCAAGGTTCATTTTTTAAAAGGTTCAAATTTTAAAAATTAAATGATATTTTTTTCTCAAACCCAATGTCCTATACTATTTTAAAAAGTAATTTTTTTAACAATTGTGAAATAATAATATTTGTTTGACTTAATAGCTAGTACTTGTATAAAATTGTATTATATTTATAATCATATATATTAATTATTTTAAAATATAAGTCATAAAATAATGTTAATATCAGTATATTATATCAATAAATTGTGTTTGTCCCATATATTATTGCATCTTGATAGACTTGAATTTGGATTCACGTAAATCACCCTTATAATGTTTAGATTGAGCAGGAAAAAAGATAAACACATCTCAAACCATCTCACTTTCATTCATACTAATACCATTATAAAATTATAAATACTATATTATGATTTAAATATGTTTTTTACTTCTATAAATTTAACCTGAATTCTGTTTGGTTCAATAAATTTAAAAAGTTATTTTTATCCCTTTCAATTTAAAAATATTATTTGTTTTAATCCTTCGGATCACTTTTAACATAAGAACATATTGAATTAGCTAAGTAACAATAGTGAGGTTGAGATCGGAGATGATTTTATAGATAATTAAGCACAAAGTATCCTAATAAAATAAAATGTTAAATTATTTTTTAATTCTTATAATTTTATTAACTTTACCTTTTAATATGTATAATTTAAAATAAACATTTTTAATCTTATATTTACAATTCTTAATTTTTTAATTTTTAGTATCTATCGTCAATTTCTTTTGAATCACTTTTGGGTGAGTGATATAAATTTATTAAATTCATGTGACAATTATGTATTAAATTTTATAGTAATGTATCATTTTATAATTTGAAAGAACAAAAATGAATAATATAAATGATTTTGTAAACAGTGAATATTAATTATAATTGTATATGATCTAGATAAGTGATCATATTATTTATAATTACACAATAAACAATTAAGTGAGGTATCACTATAAAAAAAATAATACATCACTCACACATAAATATATAATAAATTTACATCAGTTAGATAGAAACAATGTCATAATAAAATTAGCCGTAGAGACCAGAAAAATAAAAAATAAAAAAATATAAAGACGACAATATTTATTTTAATTCATATGGAAAAAATAAATGAAGTGAATTATAAAAAAATATATATTAAGCAAAATAATATTAAACGGTGCATGAAGGTATACAATAATTATTTGAAGCGGTGGCATAATACAAAAGGGGAACGATAATTGAAGCTTGAGCAGGTGTCATTGTCAAATCCAAGTTATTCGAGCAATCGCAGCCGCATCATGTGAAACGAAAATCGAACTTCAAAATCAGACTCTATACATTGCATCCACAGATAATTGAAAGAGGTACTTGAAAAAGACAAGAGACCCAAAGCTTCTAAGCCAGAACAAGAACGAGGATAAAGATTAACATTTTAGGGCATGCTTAGAGTTTGAGACTTAAACAGTAACATACATTCCATATTTTGTTTAATTTATTTAGCACAAATTTGTGCTTTCCCTGTTATAAATTTTTTATTTTCATTATTACTTTTTTTAATCACATTTATTAAGCGATGCTATGTTAAATTTTAGAAAAATTAGGTTAAAACTCTTATTTGGTCTCTTATAATATTTTTTTGTTTCAATTTAGTCTCACTTTAATTTTTTGTTTCAATTTGGTTCCCAATAATTTAAATTATTGAAATTTGGGACTTCCGTCCAAATGATTTAAACGAAGTTAACTGGTGGCCATGTGGATGCCAGGTGGATGCCATGTAGATGCGTAGGTGGATCCCAAATTTCTTAAATACACTCGTTCCAGGCACAAAATTTACACACCAAGAGTGCAACCAGAACGGGCCGTTCTGGTTCCAGAATTTACAAAAAAAAAACCCAAGTACAAAGCATTTTAAACACTAAATTTGCTAATATTGTCAATGAGGATTGATAACTTTAATTGCTAAACATTTAGGTTATACAGTGTATCATTAAGGACGATGCAGTGTATCATTAAAGACAATGATAGCAGGTTTTATTTCATTGTTAGTCAAACTAAAGTAAACCACTTACTACCAAATTGACACTATACAGTCAAGGATGAATTTTTGAACTTTTCTAGTATATGTTATTTCATGTGCATTCTTAGTAATTTC